AGAACATTGTTATACATGTTCTGTTAGAATATTTGTCTCTATGAAAAAATTTATGTCTATCAAATGTCAAAGACTGCTGACATTTTCTTAACTATTTATTTGATCTGCAATTGCCATTGAAAATACAAATTAAATATATTTTCTTGAGTAAGTCACCAATAGCCACTGATATTTCCTCATTCATAAGATTTAGTAAAAGACAGGAAAAGAATGTAAATGAATGCTTTAACTACAAAGGAATTCATTCCTCAATATTCCTTTTTCAAATAATTTTGAAGGAACATGCATTTGTTAAATACAAATTTTTTAAACTATTTTAAAATTATAGAGCTTAGTTTAATCCTATGTGAATTAGACGATTGCTTTAGGTGTCCTCATAAACGACAATGATGCATGGTAAGGAAGACATCTAGAATGCTTATTTGTCCTTACTGCTCTTATGGTTGCTTTCATGACTTTTAGTATTCGCAGTGTCTTTGCTGCATTTTACTGTACAACAGTAGTTTGAGTGTGTAAGCTCCTTGAAAACATAGTTGTTGTTATTTTTCTTTTCTCTAAGTGCTGGATGCCCATTGCCTAAATTGGTGCCTGATACATACTAATTACTCAGTGAAGATTATCAAATGAATTCTGGTTTATTAAATCCAAGAGTCTTGGGATATCTGGTCTTCATGAGATTTTGAAGACTAAAAAAGATGAATGAGTCCTTTGGGTATAGACCAAGGAGTGGGATAGCTGGGTCAAATGGTGGTTCCCAAATGACTTAAAAACAGCATACTACAGGGACACAGCCACATCAATGTTTATAGAGCACAATTCACAATAGCTAAACTGTGGAGCCAACCTAGATGCCCATCAGCATATGAATGGATAAAGGAACCGTGGTATATATACACAATGGAATATTATTCAGCATTAAAAGAGAATAAAATCATGGCATTTGCAAGTAAATGGATGAAGCTGGAGAATATAATACTAAGTGAAATTAGCCAATCCCAAAATACCAAATGCTGAATGGTTTCTCTGATTTAAGGATGCTAATCCATAATATGCTGGGAGGCCAGTGGGGGGGAGATTAAATGCACTCTAGATAGGGCAAAGGGGAAAAGGGAAGGGAGGGGCATAGGGGTAGGAAAGATGGTGGAATGCAATGGTCATCATTACCCTAAGTACATGTAAGAAGACAAGAAGGATGTGACTCTGCTGTGCATATGGAGATATGAAAAATTGTTCTCTATATGTGTAATATGAATTGTAATGCAGTCTGTTGTCATTTATAATAAATTTTAAAAATTTTAAAAAGGATAAAAAACCTCGAATCTCAAAAAAAGATGAATGAAAGTCAAGTATTAGTACTGGTTTCTGAATATCATCTTTTAAAAATATCAGCTTAGTACACAATTCATCTGTGACAATGTATTTCCAAATGTATTTGAGCTTGCTTATCTAATGTTTAGAAAATGGAGTTTATTTAAGTGTTACATGCTTAATTACTTTTGATTATTTACTATAGGGAGTGCCAGGTACTATACTAATAACATGATAAGACATCTTATTTAATTTTTAGTACTTTGAGAAATATTCTCCTATCTTTTTAAAGATGAAATTATTAAAAAATAAAATCAATCAAAAAATAAAAAAGATGAGACAATTGGGGTTAAATTATTTGTGCTAGGTGACACATGTAGTAAATGGCAAATTGAGGATTCTCCAAAGCTGCTCCTTGCAACAGTCTTATACATAAAGGAAATAAGCTGCAAGAGTAATAGATGAGTTTTGGTGAAATGATAAATCCTTAGTGAGATAAGCCTCTGAGGACCAAGTATGATTTTTTTTAACCTAGCTATCCTTTTCAATTGGAAAAAAAAGTTTGTAAGTTCTGCCTTATTGTGCATTACATGATAAAGTGGTATTCTCACATGAAAAAAGCATTCAAGGGTTTTGAGCAAAGTAATGATAGAATTTGCTTTCTTTTAAACTGTTAATTTGGCAGACAAAATATAGGGTAGAGACAGAATAATGAAGAAGGCTTTGCAGTAGTTGAAGCAAGAGATGATGATAGTTTGGGCTTTATTCCATAGGCTTCTTTGACACTTTTTCCTAGAAATGGCAAGAAGTGTTGAATTTGGAATGAATTGTAAAAGTGGGGGCAACACTATTTTCTGAATGATTGGATTATGGGGAGGGAGGAAAGAAGAAAGAGAAGAGATGGGAGACAGGGATAATTCCAAGGTTTTGACCTAAACAACTGGAAGAATCACATTGATGTTTCCTGAAATAGCAGAGAGAACCCGTTCTGGGATAGATATGAAGACAGACCACAGTTTATGTGGCCATTTTAAGGTTTAGACTTCAAGGTAATGACCATGAAACTAAAAATGAAAATGGGTGTATATCACCCTGGATATAAATGTGAGAATCATCCATATAGACTTGATAAATTACAGCCATGAGATTGGGTGAGAATATGAGGGAAGAGTGATTATAGAGAAAAGCCTTAATTGGAATTCTGAGACTTCAGAGTCTAGAGAAAATGAGAATTAGGAAGGGAATAGCCACAGGGACTGAGGAAGAGGAGCCAGTGAAGTGGGAGAAGTGAGAGTGGTGTCCATAGAAGACATATGAAGATATGACCAAAAAGGAGGAAGTAGTCAGATATGACCAACTTTTCAGATAGAGTATGTCAAATAAAATTGAGAAATGGCTATAGAATTAGGCAATGGGGAAATCCATTGATAACCTTGACAAAAGCATGATCAGAGAAAATCCTCTTTCTTAAAACAAGAAAGTGTGAAACGATTCACTTAAAAAAATATCAGTTCTTTTCTAAATTTTTAATTCTAAGTGAAGTATCTTGCAGTTTTAATAAAAATGTAAGCATATTATCCTTTACTATTAAATCTAGATATTTTAATTATATAAATAATTTTAACTCCTTTATTTGGCAACATTTTATTATCTGAATGCCAAGGAAAGCTTTAATATTCTTCTTCTTCATGTTTGTTGTGTTCTTGGTTTTTAGAGGGCAAAAAGGGCATGACCTGTATAGACAGACCCAGGTTTCAGGCCAAACTTCACTAATTATTAGTTGTACCATTGTTTGCAAGGAGTTGTATTTCTTCTAATCTATTTCCTTGTTGGAACAGGTAATAACTATTTTAAAACATAGTAAATACGATGAGAACATATGTGAAGTTTCTAATGAAATGTTTAGCAAATAATAAAATAATACAGTAAATATGAGCTGAGATTATGAGTCACAGAGACCTAAGTTCCACCCCAGAGCTTACATATACTATATGTGAAAATCAGGGCAACCTTCTTGACTCTCTTAAACCTTTGTTAGCTTATCTGTAAAATTGATGTGATCAAATTAGCTACCCTATATGGTAACTAGAATTAAATTAAATATTTCATGCAAAGTTCTTACCAGTCTTAGACAAAATGAGTGCTCCATAAATGGTAGCTGCTATTATTATTTATACTTATGGTTCTATAATTATCCTTGCTATTATAGTTATTTCAAGAATAAAACCTTAGTCTTAGTTCTTAAACTCTGAGTTTCTAATCATACTTGATATCAAGTATAATTTATATAGTGTTTGTATTTCTTTGTTGCATGTTTGTTTTCCTTAATAATTTTATTGTTGTCTTCCATTAGTAATATTAAAAATCTTACATGGTTAGTTAGCAGCTAGTTTGTCATTTTTTAAGTTACATTGGTCATCACTTGGAAAATCTAAATGGATAGAGTCAGAAGAAGAAATATGTATGATAGGATTCTTTAGAAGTTACATCAGTGAATCAGAAATGGCTCTTAGCCATTTTGCCTAAAACTGTGCTTAAAAATATCTGAACACATCTACAAAGGAGGAAACTGATTTAATTGTTGGAAAAATTAAAAACGAAAACGAAGGATGGTTTCGATCAATAAACAAACAATAGATTTTACATAAAAATAATGAGATAGCTTTGATGACAAAACTCAGACTTTTCCTTCAAAAAGACCACGGGAGTCATCTTAGTTCTTGATTTAATTGATGAAAGAATACAAAATTTATGAGTGATTTTGTTGTCTTGTCCAGGGTTAAGTGCTGGAAGGAATAATTTTCTGACTCCAGTTTAAATACTCTTCTCATTAAAACACACTTAGTTCCAGTCAGTTATTGTTATAAATAAAATGAAGGAAAATATTGAGTAAAAGAAATGTTGAAATGACACAGTGAGGCAGTGCAAGTGATGTAAAACTTGAGGATATTGATTTATGCTGTAAGGTATTCTATTTTTCTCCAGTAATGTTTTATAAGTTAAAAACCTAGAAAAGGACTTTTGTTTTAAAATAATTTTGTTTAAAACTATAATTAAAGCAACTAATTATCATTGGAGAAATTAATGGCAGAAATATTTGGGGAATTAGTTTAAAAGCAAATCTCTAAATGGAGATTTGTGTGTGTCAGATTTTCTGTAATTAAGTGGTATTAAATACATATATGTAAAATTCTTCCTAAGTGTAAAACTAAATTATGTATTTTGAAATAAGAAAAATACAGTTTCAATAATTGTACTTTGAAAAAAATGAAATGCTATCTTGAAATATGTGCATTTTATGAAGCTAACTCCTTATTGTAGAAACTTTGGTAAACTGGAAAAGAGTAATTTGACAAGTTTTGAAACTTATTTAAATGGTGAAAAATCAGCAGTTTTATTTACTATAACTTGTAATCTTATGTCATCAAGTAAATTTGTGTCTGTGTTTGTAAGAAATCTTTTAACAACTTTACATTTATATATAAGTTTACTCTTTGTTAAATTTCTGTCTACGGTTTAGTAATATCATGAACTAACATTTTCATCTATTTCAAGTTAACTAAGAATTATTTTATTCAAAAGAATTATAAATAGGAACTTCTTTATATTGTTTATCTTTATGACATGAAACTCTGAAGTAATTATATCTTTTTCCCAGATTGTTAATTTTGTTTCTTTTTCTTGTTTTATAGAGCTACATTCATGGGAGCAGCCAGGCTCAATTCGTGGCGGAGTCACACATTATTCTGGTACTGAGTATCCTTTAATACAACTGATGAATTGAAAAGGGCAAAACAAAGCTGCATACTGTCAAGTTGATTTTATTTCTGGCAGTAAATATCAAGACTTTTAAAAGATATTAAATTTTAAACTTTATGATTAGCTTTCTAATTCCTTTGCTAATTTCCTATTACAGTGTAATTTTATTGTTATGCTGAATCATTAACAAACTATAATTTTCTTTTTTCTTCTTCTTTTTCAACTGACTTGAATCATAAGTATTGCTTTTATTCTGCCTTGACTACTACTGGCTAGATATTTAGTTTGTTTATGTGGTTTTCACTGCAGGATCCCTGTGACATAAATAGCATTAAAAAATAAGCAGTTATTTTCTATGTTCTGTATGCATTAAGTGAAATAGCACACATAAAACATTTAGTACTCATAAAAGACTATTTGGTTTAATTTCCTTTTTTTTCTTTCATCTTTCTCATTCAGAATTTCACTAGGTTGCAGATAGTATGCATAAATACATATTTGTTGTTTTTTTCTTTAGCACCAAACAAGGTATAGATGACCAGAAGAATATTCCATATATTTGTAAGAAATGTAGCCTGAACTATCAATCACAGTGTTACTTTTTTTTTAAATTTTTTAATATTTATTTTTCAGTTTTCGGTGGACACAACATCTTTATTTTATTTTTATGTGGTGCTGAGGATCGAACCCAGCGCCCCGCGCATGCCAGGTGAGCACGCTACCGCTTGAGCCACATCCCCAGCCCCACAGTGTTACTTTTTAAAAAAATTTTTTTAGATGTTTGTGGATGGACTTTTATTTTATTTATTTGTTTATATGCAGTGCTGAGAAATGAACCCAGTGCCTCACACATGCTAGGCAAGTGCTCTACCACTGAGCCACAACCCCAGCCCAATCACAGTATTACTGAAGTATTCGAAATGTTTAAATTTTTCCAGAGGAAGATTTATTGAACCCTTCTAATCATGTACTTTACGGGATAATGAAAAAAAAAAAATACTGTTTTAAGACTGAACTTTAGAAATGAAGTTTGAAGAGATTCTAAATGTCCAGTTTATCCTCTGGAAGCTAAATGTTGTGTTTCTGAAATTCATCTAGAAAACATTATCATCTTTTTCCTCTGTGTAATTTCTCAAAATTTTAATTTTTCCCATCTTAATTACCATATTTGGATGCACACACAGAATTAGGTGTATCTATAGCTGATGCCTTGTTTGCATTACCTGTGCACATAGGATATCAAAATTGAGAAACTTCCATGATTAAACTAAAAAGAACAAACCTAAAATTCATATGAAAGCAAAGGAGACAATGAATAGCCAGCCAAAACAATCCTGATCAAAAGGAGTGAGGCTAGAGACATCATAATACCTTATTTCAAACAGTACTTAAAACAGAATGGTAATGGCATAAAAACAGAAGTTTATTCCAATGGAATAGAGAGCATAGAAATAAACCTCATACAGCTATAGGTATATTATTCTTAACAGAGGTACCAAAAACATACACTGGCAAAAAGTCAGCTGTATATAGGGAATTGAAACTAGATCCCTCTCACAAAAACAACTCCAAATGGATCAAACACCTAAAATGTAAGTCCCAGAACTTTGAAACTGCTGAAAGAAAACAGGAAAAATCCTTAAAGATATAAGCAAGACAACAGCTTTCTGAATATGACTTTAATAGCTAACTGAGTGTAGTGGCTAATGCCTCTAATCCCAGCAACTCAGAAGGCTGAAGCAGGAGGATCACAAATTCAGGGCCAGCCTCAGGAAATTAGCAAGGCCCTAAGGAACACCAAAAAAAGTAATAATCCTATCAATAATTGAGCAAAGGAACTGAACAGACACTCTCAAAAGAAAAAAGTACAAATGACCTTTAAATATATGGAAAAAATACTTGATTTCTTTAGCTATCAGGAAAATACAAAACTATATTGAGATTCTTGCTATCATCAGGAATATACAAAATAATAAGACTGATGAGAATAAAGGGGAAAAGAAACCCCTGTGCATGGTGTGAATGTAAATTAGTATAGTCACTATGTAAATCAACATGGTGGTTCCAAAAATAACTAGAACTACCATATGATTTAGCTATTCTACTACTAGGTATCTGCCCAAAAGAATTAAAGTCAGAATACTCTATAGAGATAACTGTATAATTCAAAATAGCCAAGTTATGGACTCACCCTAGGTGCCTGTCAGTATATGCACAATAGAGTAATATTCAGAACGAAATGGCATGTGTTCCCTCATTTGGAATCTAAGGGAAAGAAAAAGACAACATGAAATAACAGGGAGAAGAGAAGGGCATTAGGAGGATCACAGTTAGGGGAGTAGATATGATATTTTCATATACTAATATTTGTATTATATTTCATAGTATATTTGCATATACTAATGAAATCCATTGTTCTGTGTAATTAAAAGGCACTGATTTAAGAGAAAAAAAAAAGAGAATTGTTCCACAGTAGAGGAGGCTAAAGACACATGACAACTTAATGGAATATGTTATTCTGGACTAGATTCTATAATAGAAATTTAAAATAAAAATAAAGTCACAGGGGCTAGGGCTGTGGCTCAGCAGTAGAGCACTCGCTTAGTATGTGCCAGGCACTGGGTTAAATCCTCAGCACCACATAAATATAAATTTTAAAAAAGGTATATAAAAAAAAGCTTTAAAATATAAAGTTGCAGAGAATACTATTGGATAAACTAACAAAATCAAATGTATATGAAATATTAGTAAAAGGTTTTATGCCAATGTTAAATTTACGGAACACGATAAATAAGTACATAAAGTAATTTTCCTAATATACAATGGAATGTTCTCTAAAAAAAGAAAAAAAAAACTGTGATGATGAGTATTTTTTTGCTTTAGTTTTTCCATAGATTGGAATTGGAAATATCTACATTTGAATATACATTTCTCATATTTTGTGATCTTGTTTAAACAGTACTATATTTCTAGACTCCAGCTTTAATATGGTAAAAGTTAGTGTTTTTTTGTGTATAAGAGGAGCCTTAAATGAGAAAATGAAATATATATGAACATGTCAGTTTTCCTCTTTATTAAATAATAAAGGCATAGCCTTATTTAGCCTTTATTTTTTTTTAAAGTTTGTCTATGAAAATACATTTGTGCTAAAACAAATGGTAAAAAAATACCAAGTATTTGTTGCAGGTAAATTGATTTATGCTAAAACAAATGGTAAGAAACACCAAGTATTTATTGAGGTTAAATTGTTTTAAACTCTTATTTATGTACATATTATTGTTTCATTTTTTCATGTTCTCTAATTTGTTTCAGTCCATGGGCTATACTTTATCCAAAGTAGCAAGTCTATTAAAACACATCAGGAATACCTAGCAATGAAAAGCTGTGTTGAGACTATTATTCCATTGTGTGGCAGGAATTCGCCAAGTTTTCATTTCACAGATCATTGACATCAAGCTGAGATTTAGGATGCGAAGACATTTCACAAGCAGTATGAAGTGTTCAATATATATTTTAGCAGGAATACAGAAAAGAATTAAAAGTCCCTGTTTTCTATATGCCAGCAGTAATTATTTGCTTTATTTCTCCTGTGTATTTTTATTTTAGAGATATAATAGATATATAAAGAGAAAGAAAAAAAATTCTTTTAAAACCATGGACTTATTAATATTATCAGTAAATGTTTAAAAAATGCCATTTTATGGTAATTTCTTATTTTAATTTCACTTGAGAAAGTCTACAGGTATTTTTGAACTTAGCACATTTTAAAAATTTTACATGTGTATTTTTTCTGTTAGTGCAAAAAAAGTAAATATCAGATAGTTAGTTTGTGTTTATCTGTACAGAATATTTCTACCTTTTGGTTTCCTCCTTCTAATTTGGTAAGTCAGATTATTAGATGCAGTTGCTATATACAAAGTTTTGTTGTAAAAACCTAAGGGAAAAGAGACGAAGTTTTTTGGTGTCATTGGTTAGAAATTCATATTTAATCTCATTAAGATTTTTCTTTTTATCAGTAGTGGTTTTTTTTTCTTATTGTGTTGTTTTTATCCTTTTAAAATAATAATTCTAAGTATTGTATAAAAGAAAACTATGACAAAAGAATAATGAAGTATTGCAGGAGGCAGCTATAGAAGAGCAGCTTGCTGCCTAGAGAAGTTTGACTAACTTTTCAGCTCTGTTTTGAAGTGCAAAAAGGAGACTCACAAAGGAGTGCAATCAGTACAGAAGTACATATTGAAATTTAGGTGCCTTATTTATTCATTCATTCACTTATGGTACTGGGGATTGAACCCAAGGGTGCTGAAACCACTGAGTCACATCCCCAGCTCTTTTTAGTGTTTTATTTAGAGACAGGGTCTCACTGAGTTGCATAGTGGCTTTGAACTCGAGATCCTCCTGTCTCAGCCTCCTGAGCTGCCAGGATCACGGGTGTGCACCACCAAGCCCAGCCCCTTATTAATTCTTCAGGATGTATTGTAAGGTTGTAACCAGATTGCCTGATAAATTTTGATGTGGAGAGATAAATACTGTCACATCTTTTTTCTGTTCAAGCAGTCAATCAAGGAGGTTCGTTCTAGTAATACATTGAGGATAGAGTTCAAAAGAGAGAGCAGAGAAATTGGGAGGTACTAACAATTGACTATAGAGGAGAAACTTAAATAATGATGAGTGACTCAGTGACTCATTGAAAGGAAGAAGCATCAAAACTTGATGGTATGTGTTACAAGTGAGGTTCATGAATAGGAATAACATGACTCAGGAATTCAGAAATGTATTGAAGGATAGCTTTACATTAACAATCTTAAGAAATACAGGAGGAAAATAAGGCATGAAAAGAAATAAGCCTAACAAATTATTAAGTTTAATAGGCTTCATATTTGATGGATGAGAAGGGTTTATTTTGTTTAGAGTGCTTAATATCATAATGTCAATCAGTTGCATAGTGAAGAATAAATTTTTCAACCCATTTTTTGTACTCATATTTTCCCAGTAGGTCAAAATTTCTGTGGTGAACAGGCCACTGGTAGTCTTTCAAGATTTTAGTGTAAGTACATTTGTTAGGCATTTCTAAAAGATTGTTTCCCTAAAGATATAGTGGATATGTTTGTATTTGTTTAGTTAGTCTGTCATATTACTGTGCAAAATACCATACCTTCTTGCATTACAAAATGAACAATTTTTTTGGTAGAGCATAAGAATATAACTATAAATACCTACATGTGAGCACCTGCTAGCCACTGAGGTATAAAAGTTGCCAAAATTTATTGACAATGTCCCCGATGTGTGTGTAAACGAAGAGATAGTTTTACAACAAATAATGATGCAAATTATTTCTTTCAATTTATGTTCTTAAAAAAGCTTTCAAATGCCCCAGATGTGATAAATCTCAGGGTTAAGATAATGGGTCTCAACTGGAATTATTAAATTACACTCATATGATTTTTGAAACTATAATTTCTTGAATTAATATGTATATGAAATACATTAGCATATAACATTATCTATAAAACATTTTATATAATTTCACAAAGTAGGAATTTTGAGCTATAGTGATCACATGGGAAAGCAGGATATGCTTTAGGTTGTAGAATCTTCTCAATACAAAACTTCATATATGACTTTTAATGAGATGACTTGTTTTTTTTTTTTTTACTAAATGTACTTACAAGCATGGCACAGTAGAATAAACAAAATTGCAAGTAGTGA